GATAGACCGACAGACCTCCCGACCTCACTTTCCTTAACAGAATGCGCCCAAGGTTAACCGAGCCGAATTTATATTCGAGGGCATGAGTGCGACGCCTTCGATCGACACTAGACCGGTAGCGGACCGAGCTACGCCAGGCCGCTCGACCACAGCGAAGCGTTCCTATGCAGTCCTGCTGCACTGCTGCTACCGGAGTGGATTTAGACGGTCCCTTTGATAGACGCTCCAAGAGGGAACGCTGGAGTCGCGAAATAGACTGTAGGCCTAGGCCTATCGACTTTGGCGCATTAATGACACAAATGTCGTTACCTGGGGGGACTACCTTTCTACTTAAAATGGTCAAATTGACACCACTTTGACATTGTTTTGGCGTCGGCGGCCCAGGGCGCACTCGGCTCGCTCACCTTAAACATCAGAAAGTGGCTGTGGGCGGGGAGCGGGAAAAGCGCCAGCACCCGCAGGGCAGCGGCCGGCCCGGGCACGGCGACCAGGGCGAGCAGGGCCAGCGGCAGCAGCAGGCGAGCGGGCTCCATCTCGAGTGCGGGCGCTCGACTGCACGACGCGCACCTCCAGCAGCTGATTGAACTTGAAAGTTGCCGCCGCGCGCCGCTCCTCCGTCTCTACTACTGTCACTCGCTTACACGATAGCATAGACCGTCGCCCTGCCTTACCGCCGAGACTGGGCTCGGCTCAACGGCACGCGCTCCTCCCCGCGCCACCCCGCCCCTCCGCGCCCCTCCGCGCCCCTCCGCGCCCGGCCTCGACCCGCGAGTATACACGCGAACAGTTCAACCAGAGATGCTGAGTAATGCTCCACTTTTTTGTTTGTCAGTGATGTTGGGATATTTCTACTTTTCTCTTTCTTGAAACGTGAGACGACTGTCATGTACGGACTGCGTCGATAAGAATTATCAGAAACAACGCCGTTTTTCAAACACGGTGACGTCACATTCAATCCAATGTGCCTGGTCAGCTGCTGTGCCTCCCCCATCTCCCACTTTCCCTCCCCTGGGGTTGCCTCAGCCGGTGAGGTAGGCCAACAAACTACACGGATGCCGTCGAACACTTCCCGCCACAGTGAAGATACAGCGTATTGGGGTTATATGCGAAATGGTACCGTATTGTTTTATTTTCTCAGCATATCATCTTTCTTCTGTCTGTCCTGAGCTGAGCTTGACAGTAAGCGATGAGCCTACCCGATGATCTCAGAGCAAAATTAAGTCAAACTATAAAAGGTGGAAGATAATTTGGATAATCATCGTCTGACTGTCGAAAACCATATGATGAAAATTCTGTCGTCTCATTGCCATCGTTCCGGGTGACTCGTTACTACGGCTAATCTGATCAGAGAGATGAAACAACCGTCCGCTTTGCAGTCGCCCAAGAAAGAAAGACTTTGTTGTGGGGATCAACTCTGTTTGGTAGGCAAAATTCGATAACTGGAATGGAGAATCCGATACCCACAACCAGAAGTTGGTATCGGATTTTTGATTCAAGGAATCTAATTTAGCCTACTAAACAGAACTGTTCCCCACAACAAAGTGTCTCTTTTCTTCGTGCATCGCATCCACGGACGGGTTAATAGCGACAGCCGAGTCGACTCAAAAGCAAAACGAGAGCTATCGTTTATCGTCCCATGACCATGATAGAGAAAGGAGGGCGGGAAGATCGCTCGAGAAATCGAAAAAGGCCATTTGTTTGCGCTTCTACGAAAAGCAAGCCAATTTTGATTGTCTGACAAAAGAGATAAACTGTTCTTTCTGATTAGTAATTTTGTCGTCGTCTGCTCTCGGGTAATCACGGCTGTTGGTATTCTTCTTCAAGGTAATGTTATTCATATTCATGTGGGGGGTTTTCGGCGACACATACCCGAGCTGGAAATCACTCTTGTACACAGCGTAAGAGCTATTTCGTGGTATTTCCCCTACACTTTCGATTATTTCGTGGTTATTTCGGATTAATTCGGGATATTTCGTAGTTTGGGGGATATTTCGCCACTTTTACACCATCTATTTCGTGAATATTTCGCAAGTGGCAATCCCCTTGCAAGATATCTCATCCTTATGCTTCAAGTGGGGTGTGCAATTTAATGGAGAAAGGTGGGCCTTTGCCTTTCCTCACTAAGGAAAGAGACGGCAGTGCCGATATGTCGATCAAACTGATAAGGTAAACGCAAGACCTATTGGGTACGTCAAATCGCACCCAACCCACC